TGAAACTAAGGCATGTTGCTGTATGTTACATCCTCATCTTCTGCTTCAACCTGTTGCAGAACAGAATACAACATGTAATAGCTAAATAAATATCAAACATAAACCCTACTTATTCAATACTAGCAGCTGGACATTTAAAAGTTGATTATTTTGAAAGTTAACTTATTTCAAATAGTTTTTTGAATTACTGGTGTATATTGTATAATCTAAATGATAATACATTAACCTATGTGCCTTTTCGTGCAGTTATTTAGTGTTGCACAAGTTATGGTTTTAATAGTTAAGGGTTACCTCGCCTGAAGATGTTCTCACACATCTTACTTCCCCTTCAGCCTATGTTTGAGAAAAAAGAACGTCATTTACAGATGAGATGTTGTTAGATTAAATTAACAAATCGTTTTACTGTATCTTCTTAACAACAGAAATGTACAGTATGAAACCATAGTAAACATAAACAATGTAACATGACCTTCTCTTTACTTCCAAACCAGAAGGCCTATCAGGGAACAGTCACATTGGGAAATGAATCCACATATGTTACCGTTGTGGCTGATGATTCTACTTTTATCTGCTCTAAAAGGGAGAGAATAAAAACAACTGTCACTGACTCCTTATTTTTTTTGACAACAGCAATGTACATTTGTCCTTATTTCAAAATAATTATTGCCCAAAAAACTAAAATTGCTAATACAAACTGTTTAAAAAGAAAATGTTACTGAATACTTATGGTGTCTTTTGTATATAAACCAGATGAACACGGTTACCATAACAACGAAGATTACCACAGCCACGCGGATACGAAAGCTCTTCAAATGTTCATAAGGACTGCAGCAGGAAATTATAAGCACCCAAATTATTGTTAAAGAATTACAGGATTTTTTGAAACAACATAAAATGTACTCATCATCCTGGTCATACTGTGTATTGCACTATACTGTTTTACTAAATCCTATACGGTTTTTCTGAGTCATTGTACAGTACATTGTCTAATGCCAGTAAAACATATATAGAGATTTCCCCACAATTGTTTTTTTTATCACAAAATGGCAACTTTTATCCAATCACGGGGTGTTTCTCAATCGCGAGTAAAGCTGCTTCAGAGCCACTATTTCAAGCATACTACGTAATCGAGTGCCGCCAAAGTACTGTTCCAATCTCCAGCATACTTGGAAATCTACCGAGCCCGGCGTACTCCGTTTGGAGAAATATCGAGGCTGCACATGAGTAGACTCCGCGGCCTTAAAATCCCCACAATGCTTTGCGCACGGACCAATTTCCCCAAATCTGTGGCGGAAGATGTAAGGCGGGGCCTCTCATACGACGCACACCTGCACACTTGCTAGCCTGTTCCACTCTTTGTTTTCCAAATGTCAGGAAGTATTCTTGACTCGCTTCTGAAGCAAGATGCTCGGCAGACATGTGCTACCAAGCAAGCGTACTCGCGATTGAGAAACACCCTCAATGTCGAGGAAGGCTGCTCCAGAGCCACTATTTCAAGCATACTACGTCATCGAGTGCCGCCGAAGGACTGTTCCAATGTCCAGCATACTTGGAATTCTACCGAGGCCGGCGTACTTCGTAGCAAGACATTTCTAGGCTGCACATGTGTAGACTCCGCGGTCTTAAAATCCCCACAATGCTTTGCGCACGGACCAATTTCCAAATCTTTGGCGGAAATCGCGCTCCATTTAAGGCGGGGCCTCGCATATGACGCACACCTGCACACCTGTTAGCCTGTTCCACAATTCTTCGTTTTCCGAGGCTAGGAAGGATTCTTGCCTCGCTTCTGAAGCAAGTGACTCGGAAGACATGTGCTACCAAGCAAGCGTCCTCGACATTGAGAAACACCCACTGTATGTAATGAAAAGGTTACTGACCTTGTGTGCCCACCCTGAGCAATTACCCCTGTAACACGACAACATAGAATGCTAATATTCTCACTCAAATCAACACAAAGATTGATGCATTTGAAAATCCAATGTACTTATAACACTTACTAGTTGTAGGTTTCTCAGTAACAGTTATGTGCACTGGCATCTGTAAGTCTCCTTTAACGCATGCACAAATACCAGCGGCTGCTCTCTGTCCTCAGTCCGCACGGAGCGTCCACACAGCAGCGTTAAAAAAATCTTGGAGGCGGGCGTATCTGACGCTTGGGGATTTTTTGCGAGCAACGCGACCGACAACCAATCACATGAATCTCCCGCCCCCGACATACAAAGCAAAAAAGCCCGAAGTAAACTGGATATAAACTCCCCAAACAGGCGAAAACCTACTACTGTCTCTGCCACCTCCCTCCATGCCTGGCTCCTCCGGTTTGTATCCCGGTAGGTAAATAGGGACTGGTCATAAAGCACCGGGTGATTCCCTACCGCTATAATTAATTTCTCCTCCATTTTTTGGAATATGAGGAAATGACCTGCGGTATGTCTCTCCCAGCATACACGCGGTTTGATTGGCTAGCACTTGAAATGTCAGATTTGCATAAATGGTATTTGATTGGCTGACGCTTCCACCTCAGCTTCAAAAGTTGAACATTGCTCAACTTTTGAATCCTGAGATGCCTGGAAAGCTCCGCTCTGCTTCCCACAATGCAGTTCGGCGAAAAGTGAGGCAAAGTGACGTCACCCCATTCAAAGTGAATGGGCAGAAGCGTTGGAAGATTTTTTTAACGCTGCTGTGTAGACGCTCCGAGAGTCACAGTGAAAACACCAGTGTTGCGTGCACTGATGTCGACTCTTGTTCCATCTATTAATCCAGACTTTGTCACACAGGTGCCGCCAAGCCTGCACCACTTCCTTTCTCCAGAGTTTTGATAGTGTGACGACCCCTGCCTTGTTATCTCTTGTGTGTGTGTGTATGTTCCTTTAAGGTTCTCCCTTTGGTCTATCAGCTGGGATTGAGGACACCTGGTGGCTGGTACCAGAGGGTTAAAGGGCCTGAGTGAGACCCGCAATCTCTCTCCCCGCAGAGGACCGGACCTCGGAGAGCAGCCACGTCGCCTATTCTTTTTTGCCTTGCCTTTTTGTTTTTGTCTTCGGCCACATATTTTGTTAAATAAATACCTTTTTCTACATATTCTTGTCCTTCCCACGCTTTTTGTTATGGCTAAGAGCCAGGCCATGACAATAGTGACACTTGATGTTTATGTTATCTCCTTTCAATCCTGTAATCTCTTGCTGACCCATATAGAGACTAGAGGCAAATGGGCAGTCAAGAAAACCACTTGAACCCAAACACTGGCAGACTGATTCTTTATTTCCTTTTTTTCTACACGTAATAACTCTACTTCTCCTCCTCCATCTGTAAGACAGACCCAATTAGTAAATGATGTATGTTTTGTTTGTGATATATACTCTTTATGCAGTTTGTTTTGCTACCACAGAGCACACATCACTCTTAGCATCTGACATCACACATCAAACAGATGAATTGAACGGATTTGTTACAAATGTGTATGGTGTAATAACAAAAGCTAGAATACTTATGTGTTTTTTTATATGATCTATTACATAGTTTGTTATTTGCTTAGTTTCCCCCACATGCCTAACATTGCTGTGTTTGGCGTCCTCTTCAGTCAGAGGAAGATTCAAACCAAAAGTTTTTTTAAATAAAAACTATGTGTAATCGACCAGATCTGATGAAATTGAATGCATGGTGATCTTTATTATTAATATAGTACAAGGAAAACATTTTATGAATACTTTATTTGTAAGGCCGGATCAGAGGAATTAGAATTAGAGTTCACTAGATAACAATGCCTCTACAGTGCACTTTTACAATATCATTTACTGTAGACTTTGGGACAAGGTCCACATTTCCAAACAAAAGAATAGCACTTCAGGCATATGGACTGAAACGTGTTCATTTATTTAAAACATTAAACCACGACAACCATTTGAAGTATGTGTCAAACACGCACAGTGCATACAAAGTGGAGAGATAATATTAACACGACAAAAATGCCATCAGAAAGTTGATGTTTCAAACAGAAGGGGTAAATATATAAGAAGAAGAAGACCAGGAGGATGGCAGAAACTGAAATATCAACTCGTGATTTATTGCATTATCATGTTTATTTTAGTTGACTTATTTTGTACTTTAAACATTCATGTTCCATCAAACATTAAACAACAAAAAACATAATACAAGGTGTAAATGGACAAACATAATTAAACAAAACCTGTAAGATTTGTTTGGTTCCTCCTGCATGTTCAGGAGCTTGGTCATTTTGTACGAGTGTAGAAAGCTTTTTTCAATGCATAAAATCTCTTGAGCTTAAGGATATGAAGAAAGGGGAAGGGGAGAAAAAAGAGGTTTCTGCAAAACCAAAGATCAGATGCCGGCAAGTTGCAAGACTGTTATCTAAAACAAGCCTCCAGCGATGGGTATAGATGTAGGGTAGGGGGAACATTCACAGGTTTTTCTGGTGCTAAGCCAACCTGCTGTATGTTACATCATCTTCTTCCGCTTGAATCTGTTGCATAAGTGAAGAAAAAATGACATTAGGGAGGAAAGATCAAAGATGAAAATTACTTTTGCCACACTAACAGCTCTAACAGGCTGGACACAATGCTTTGAGCTAAATGCTAACGTTACATTGTCCTAACAATGTCAACGAAGGCTGAAGTACTAAGGTTTAGCAGGACTGCTTGCGAAGTTCATAATCTTAGTTTAGCCAGTATCAATGCCAACATTTGCTAACACAAATCCAAAAGGATAACCGAGGCTGATGGAAATTATCTTTCATAGTATTTCGTCATTATCAACAAATTACATTTCTGACCTGATTATGGCGCTATATGAAAATGCAAGGAATCACCAAATTCGTAAGGATACATTATTTGGACACCAGGACCATCTGTACCAAATTGTTTAATGATCCATCCAACAGAACAAACAACAATGGCCACCCATAGACACGCTTCTATTTTGCCTTCAAAATATGGGGTAAAAGCTTCACTATTACCATAGAATACAACATTTAAATTAAAATGTACCCTTTGTTTAGTTTGACGTTCTGCAGCGACCACAGAGGAGTACATCACGTCCACATCTCTATTAGCTTCTGACCACTGTGGAAGAAAGAAGAGACGGACACGATCAGATCGATTTAACAATTTAACTTTTGACATTGCTTCATAAAAACAAATGTTTATGATGAAATAATAAATGCTGCCTGAGAGAACTTATCTTTCTACTTCTGTAATCCTGTTGTGAAATGCAAGTTGTGTTTTTATTGGTTAAGGGTTACCTTTTCTGAAACTCTTCTCATGTGTTTAACATCGCTGTATGTTACTTCCTCTTCAGCGAGACCAAGCTGCAAACCATCAACATGAACATGAACAATTCTTCCTTTTTAGGGTAAACAGCTGATCATTTGAATCACCATAAGAGTTTACCCAAAACCTAATTCTAAATAGTTTATTTATTCAAATTTGTAATGTTCTGTGCCAATCATTTTTACACAGTGTCTTACCTGACCTGTCTTTCTCTTTTTCTTGACAGTACTGTATGTTACTTCCGCATTAGACTGTGTTAAAAGAGCAAAGGACAGAATTTGAACGACAAATATGAACCAAAAGCCTAATGTTCAATTGTTTAATGATCCATCCAACAGAACAGACAACAATGGCCACCCATATATAGACACGCTTCTATTTTGCCTTCAAAATATGGGGTAAAAGCTTCACTATTACCATAGAATACAACATTTAAATTAAAATGTACCCTTTGTTTAGTTTGACGTTCTGCAGCGACCACAGAGGAGTACATCACGTCCACATCTCTATTAGCTTCTGACCACTGTGGAAGAAAGAAGAGACGGACACGATCAGATCAATTTAACAATTTAACTTTTGATTTTGCTTCATAATGTTTATGATGAAATAATAAATGCTGCCTGAGAGAACTTATCTTTCGACTTCTGTAATCCTGTTGTGAAATGCAAGTAGTGTTTTTATTGCTTAAGGGTTACCTTTTCTGAAGCTCTTCTCATGTGTTTAACATCGCTGTATGTTACTTCCTCTTCAGCGAGACCAAGCTGCAAACCATCAACTTGAACATGAACAATTCTTCCTTTTTAGGGCAAACAGCTGATCATTTGAATCACCATAAGAGTTTACTCAAAACGTAATTCTAAATAGTTTTTTTATTCAAATGTGTAATGTTCTGTGCTTATCATTTTCTTTCTCTTTTTCTTGACAGTACTGTATGTTACTTCCTCATTAGACTGTATTAAAAGAGCAAAGGACAGAATTTGAAAAACAAATATGAACCAAAAGCCTAATGTTCAATTATCCTTTTACAAAGAAGAAAATAGTATGAATAACATTAAGAGTAGGGTAATAGTAATTATGACAATAAACATCATATGTAATAAGTAGTAATGTGCTGTCTACAGTGATTCATTGTAGCTTCAAAGGGACAGTACAGTAAAGTCGTATTATATCTGGAATTACTGCAGTGTGAAATAAATTAATTTCCTTTCTTGTAAATAAATGTATTTGGAAATTAATGATCATGTCTTACAATTATTGTGGCTGGGGATTCTTCCTTGGTCTGTCCTAAAAGTGAAGCAATACAAAAAGTATTGTTAGTGACAATAATGTACAGTTATCTGCATTATTAGTAAATATATTTATGATTAACACACAATAATAAAAATGCTATTATTTGGATTGAGCATAATTCGGCATAGACTTACTGTGCTTTTTTAACATAAACCTAAATAAACATGGCCACCATAACAATGAAGATCAGCAAACTCAAAGGGATGATGAAGCTCTTTAAGTTCCCTGAAACACTGTGGCAGGAATAAATAAATACAAAACAATGTAAATGACACATTTGTATAAACAGTCAACATTTGCATGATTCAAGAAAGTCTCTCACCTTTGCTGTTTACCCTCAACGGTGGAAAGTGGTTGGTCTGCAGAACTAGTGGTGTGCTTCGCAGGCTCAGTGGTGTGCTTCACAGGCTCAGGGGTGCTAAGACTTGTTGCTGCAAAAGTGAATGTAATGACATGTGGATATAGCTATTAGAGTAAAATGACAATAATAATTGCTAAGATTTTTATCTTTTATTTTATTCAATAAATAAATTGCAAATGACTTTACCCAACAAATATTACAAATGTAATATTTTTGAAATTAAGAATGACTTATAACACTTACTAGTTGTAGGTTTCTCAGTAACAGCTATGTGCACTGACATCTGTAAGTCTCCTTTAACACACACATACCAGCCGCTGTCCTCAGTCCACTCATAGTCACAGTGAGAACCTGGGAATCAATGACTTTGATGGTGACTCTTGAGTTTTCTAATGATCCATTCGGCCATGTCACACAGGAGCTGCCCAGCCTGCACCACTTTATTTCTTCAGCGTTATGATAGTGATAATTGATGGTTATTTATTCTCCTCTGATTCCTGTCATCATCTGTTCTTCCACATATAGATATGGTTTGCCTTAATAGAAAACATAATTCAATGGAAACTTGTAAGCAGCCAAGTCGGTACGTGCTCCTGATGTTTAAATAAATGTTTAATAGTTAAATCTGGCAAATACATCATTTGGCTCTTACCTTTGTTGACTGACAGGTGGAAATACTTTCCAAAATCTGATAAACCATTATTCTTCACAGCACACCAGTAATAACCAGTGTCCTCTTCAGTCAGATCATTTATAGTCACAGTGAAGACTCTTTGTTTTTTGTCATCAGAGATCGAAAACTTCCCTGAACTGCTTGGTTTGTTTGTTTTAACTTTATAAGAACAGGAGGCCCACAGATATCCTTTACATAAGTATTTCACATTGTTTTTGTATTGTGGCTCATAGAGACACGGGATGGTGATCGAACCTCCAGCTCTCACTGACACTTTACTGACTGTAGTTACGCTGTGAATTCCTGCAACAAGAGCAAATACACAAATGTTAAAGTAATATTCAATAATAATTATCCATATTACCTTCTTACATTACCATGTGAAGCATACAATAAAATATTCACAAATATTTTCTGTCACTGACCTGTGAGTCCGATCAAAATGAGAAGGATGCCGAGATGAACAGCCATGTCAGAGTGTGAGCGGACCAAACAACATGTACGAACTGATGCTCTACTTCCTTTGTTCCTAAATATAAAATGCACAAGTTCAAATATGGGTCCCTCCTATAAGGAAGTTGCGTTTCATCGGTTAATTGTGTAATATATATATATATAATTATTAGTGCAGTTGGAGAGTACCCTACATCGATTAAAGCTTTGGAGTAGAAACATGCATACAACATTTCAAAAGAAAAAACCAGCACTTCAGGTTTATGGACTGAATTGTGTTGATTTATTTAAAGCATGACATTAATAACATGAAATGATTAAGAAGATTAAAAACATTAGCTTAACACAACTGGGTGAGTAACGGAAATATCATGAACATGTCATGTTTCCTGCTATGGCTTTAGATCACATTTTTAAAATTAAATATCCAAGGATATGGACAGAAACACACATAGAAAAAACTAAGTGTTGTAATCTTTTGACAAAACACAATACATTGTATGTGCATTTGTGCCAACAGGTATTATGGGTACTTTTTATGGGCAGTAAGCCTCAAAAACAGATAAAGTCCAAGTCCTTTTCAAGTTATATATGTGTGACACCAAGCTAACCAGTGCCCTTAAACAACTTCACACAATCGCCCTTTTTATTCTTTACATATCTGTGGTGTTATAGCCTTATGGTTTAACAAAGAGGATGTCTGACGGAGTAACACAAACCCTGTTTGAGGAACCACAGATGAGACGATACATTTGGCTGTTTCCAGTTACATTATACCATTTTGTTGCTCGAAAAGCTAAATAAAAGTGATTGTACTGTACAGTAAAGTAAACTGTCATCATTTATAGTCATTCCAGAACATGTCATATATGACATTTTAAAGTATAAAAAGTGTTAGCATATCAAACTAATTAAGGTTAAATATGAGTTTCTAAACATCTTAAAGATGGAAGTAAGAACTAATAAATTAAAGTGAGAATAACATGTAAGCAATACAGTTGAAAAACATAAAAGTTATCAATGTTGTTGTTTTTGTATGCAGGGGAGGGTTAAAAAAAAGGTGAGATGACTACAGATGAAAAAGGAGAAGAAAGAAGTTACAGCACAACCAAACAAAGCTATCTGCTAACAGAGAGATAACGAGATTAACAGACAGACAATCATTTCAATGTTTTGTCGGTGCTGAGCCACAATATACTTTACTATAGAATTAAGGGTAAGGTCCGGTGGATACACATGTTTTTAACAGAAGACCAGCACTTCAGGATTAAGGACTGAAACATGTTCATTTATTAAAACAATGTATTAGAAATAATGCAAACTTTTTTTAAGTGTGTGTATAGCACGCACCATACAGTATATAAAAAAGTGGAGAGATGACACGAGTACTGCAACAATGTGATTAGAAAAGTGATGTTTCATCCAGAAGAGATACGAAGACAATGGGGATGACAACAGAAACAGGCCGATCCATTAGTGATTTATTGTGTTTGAACAGTTTTTATAACTTCTTTGTCATTTACATATAATGATTAATTTTAAAAATTAATCAAAAATCAGACAACAAACATCATGATAAAAGTATATATTTAGATATAAAATGTTTTGGTTCCTCCTGCAGCTTCTGACTTTTGGTCATTTTTAAGATTTTAAACTTGTGTCAATGCATTTGGGAAACCCCTATTGAGCGTAAGAAGGTTCATAAGATGTGTTTTGTTAGCTTGTTGACTTTAAGATGCTTGTGGGAAACTACACCCATGTCAGTACTTGTTTGAAATGTTTTGCAGCAGTGTGGAGAAGAATACTGTTAGAAATTAAAATCAATGTTAAACAGCATAATTCAGTCTAAAATATATCGTCAGTTTAAAGCTGTTTTATTGTGGAAAAACCCGGAAGTTCTCAGGAAATCAATGCCAAGCTTTTATTCTGAAAATCCTTTATCCGGTTAGCATGTGACTAAATATTACGTTTTCTGAATGTAAAGTGAAAATGACTTGGAGTGTTATACACCAAAAACGAACGGACTTTAACACTACATCGATAGACGTTGGGATATTATTACTGCTGAATATTAAATGAAGGTACAATTGATCATAGAGTGTTTACACATTACGTGAGTAGCTATGACGTCAGAGGGAGTTACCATAAATGAGAACTGTGCCGTAAGTGTTGCTAGAACTTCTAAACTAAGTATTACATCTGTTTATAAGGTATTAAATAGAAAGTCATCACAGAGATAAGGAGGAGAAAAGGTTTAAGGAACTAGGCAGAGAATACCAATGTCGAAATCATCTGTTCTCTCGTGATATCGAACCAAAACAGATGAGAAGGGCGGTCCCACTATCTGCACAGCGTGAGACAACGAGACGAGGATAAAAACAGATGAGAGACGACCACTCGCTCTCTTTTCCTTCGCTGCAGCCCACCCTGAAGACATCACCGGCTTTGTCTCTCCATTACCCATGCTTGTTCTTTAACCACGTTACTTAATTAAACTACCCATTTGAACCTTTTCAGAGACTCCATTAGTCTCTTCATTCTAAGCTCCTCTCCTGGGCGCGAGAACATCGAATACTTCAATAATACCTTCAAAAAGAAAGAAAAAACAAATGACAGCAAGTTGCAAATTGTCTAAAAAAAGACTCCAGTGATGGGTATAGATGTAGGGTAGGGGTAACATTCACAGGTTTTTCTGGTGCTAAGTCAAGTATGTTACATCATCTTCTTCCGCTTGAATCTGATGCATAAGTGAAGAAAAAAATAGCATGAGGGAGGAAATATCAAAGCCACGATCAACTCATACCTTACTAACAGCTCTGTCAGGTTTTACATGGAGCTTTGCGCCAGATGCTAACAATGTGCACAATGAGAAAGCTACATTACAAATGTTTATCAGGAATGTTTACCTGCAAACATGCTAAAAAGTTGCCAAATAGCACTATCACAGAGACAACTGAGGCTGAGGGAAATTAGCTTTCATGGTG